TATCTATCTATCTATCTATCTATCTATCTATCTATCTATCTATCTATAGAGAGGATCCTGTCCTAGAGTTCAGGACTCTTGTGTGCTGCACCTTCACAGGCCAGAAAGTTTCTACTGTAGTTGAAGTCAATGGGGCATGCGCAGTGGAAGCTTCTGATGCGGACACCATGGGCAGAGATGGATGGAATCACCCCGCACTCACTGATATCTGGGGAGAGGGTAAGCCATAAGAGACAGCCCAGTCTAGGGGACCTTCTAGGTACTTTGGACCGCCTTAAGTTCTAACAGAAGATGCAGCCACAAGATGGCAGATGCCCCACAAATCGTGCTGTAAATGCAGCCGTTTACACCTCAAAGAGGTCAGGGTGTGGGAGGAGAGGCAAGCGCAGGTGGACGGTTAATACAGTGTGTGCCTTGCCAGCATGAAGACCTGAGTTTAATTTTCAGGTGCCTCAGTACATTTTATAATCCTAGCACTGGGGAGACAGAGACAGGTAGACCCTGGGTCTTGCTGGTCAGCTAGCAGCCAGAAACCAGTAAACTCCAGGTTCAGTGAGAGAGACTTGGTCTCAAAAAATAAGGTAAAATAATTGTGGAAGGCATCCTGATGTCTGCCTCTGGCCTCCACCTGTGTAATGCAACAGTATACAGACCTATACAATACTAGTACACACCACACACACACACACACACACACACACACAATTGAATAAGTGTATTTTAGGGATAGAGGTGTATCTCAGAGAGGAAGTATGTTTACCTAATGTGTGCAAAGCTCAAGGTTCCATGCTTTGAATCACAAAACAAAAAACAAATAAAAATAACCACCAGAAGGTGTTAGGATGTGCTTCCCTAGTTGGTAGGGTTCTTGTCTAGGAAACACAAAGCCCTGGGTTTGCTCCCCAGAACTCTACAAACTGGGTATGGAGGCACATATCTAGCCTGGGCATTCAGGAGCTAGAGGGTGGAGGATTAGCAGTTCAAAGTTATCTGTGGTCCCATAGCAACCTCCAGGCCACCCTCAGCTAACAGAGACCCTGTCTTTAAAAACAAGCAAACGAACAAACAAACAAACCAAAAACAGTCAAGTACAACAAACCAACTAAATAAAACCACAAATTGCATTCAAAACTAGACATGGTAGTGCTTACCTGTAGACCTAGCATTTAGGAACCAGAGGCAGGGCGGTCATGAATTCAAGTTTAGCCTGGGCTACAAAGTCAGACCCTGTTTCTATAAAACTAAAACAGCTTGGTTATGATGGCTTAGACCTGTGCTCCCAGCCCTCGGAAGGTGGAGCTTAGAGGACTGTAGTCTGAGGATAGCCTGAGCTACATAGTGGGTTCCAGACGAGCTTGAACCTGGAGACTCTCTCCAAAATGCTCTTCTCTCCCTACAACACTTCCCCTCCCCCAAAATTTCACATTCAAGGCTTAGGGAACATTGTGGAGGAGGTTCAAAGAGCCTAAGAGCTGATGGATGGGGACATGGCATGGCTGCTGCAAACACACACAGTAGCTGTGGGAACTGGCACGAGATCAAGCTAATGGGAATCCCAGCATGGATCAGGAAGGGTCTCCAAAGCCCCACTCTTAGTGGAGGAGCTATGGGCAGTAGATGGTTCCTAAGCAAGGAAGAGGCATTCTTCTTCAGGGATATGGCTGCTCTCTGCACATCCCAGTGGGTGGCCCTACACCCACGTGCCAATGGGCAGCACGAACTGGACACAGTGGCTTATTAAAAACAACAGAATGGCGGACACGAAGCTGGGAGGAAGACTGGCTAGGGAGGAGACGGACGGGAGGAAGGTAGTGGTGTGAGGCTTTGGCCAAAATACATTGCTTAAATGTGTTAAAATTTCAAAGAATAAAAATACTTTTAAAAGTCTAAGTATATATTGTATACATATTTCACTGTACATAAATTAAACCCCCAAAGGTGGTGGTGGTGAAATCCAATAAGGGAAAACAAAAAAAAAAAAAAAAGAAGAGTTTTGGGGCAGGATTCTTTAGGGTGCCGGAGGCACAGAAACAATGAGGAGGGAAGGTAGAAAGGAAAGAGGCAGTAGGGAGGGGAAGGGCTGGGTGAAGGAGTCTGAGGTTGTAGGTAGAAGGTTTGGTGACTGCTCACCAAGAAACTTCCCCATGCGGATGTCAGTGATGAACCCTGGCACTTAGGTCCACAGAGGAGCTGGGAAGAGAAAAACAGAACCCCAGAGCATACCGCTGCCCACCCTGAGTGCTGCACCTCCACGCACTCACAGCCTAGCCCTTGTCCCTCCCCTGGCCTCTCATCTTCCTTTACTCTGTGTTGCCTATCTCTGGGTTCAAGGCTGCCCCACGTCTATTCAGGGTACTTCCCAGAACACAGATGGGAGACTTCCCGCATGTTTTCCTTTGGTGAAAGCACCAGCCATGCTTATTACCCTTATTAAAGAGAGGACCAGGGAGGTGGCTCAGCTGAAGTGCAGGCCTCTGAGCATGAGGATCTGAGCTTAAATCACAGAGCCATGTATAAAAGCGGGTTGCTGGTGCATACATGTTTCTAGCATCATGAGGGAGGTAGAGGCAGGCAAACCTCTGGGTTTCCCTGGCCAGCCACTCTGGCCAAAATAAATGAGGTGCTCCAAAAAACTAGCGTGGAGAATTGCCTGAAGAAGACACCCTGATGTCAACTTCTGGCATCCACAGTGTGTGTACCAGTAAATACACCCACACCTGCATAGACACACACACATACACTACATAAACACACACACCAGACACATACACACACCACACACATACATACCACACACCCCCACACACCACACACACCACATACACACACATCATATACATACCACACATATACACACACCCACCCACACACCCCCCACACAAACACACATACACCACACCACACACACACTACATATACACACACCATACACACACTACATACACACAACACACACATACACCATACCACACACACCACATACACACATACCACACACACACCACATACACACACACACACACCACATACCCACCACACACACACCACACACACACACCATATACACACCACACATATACATACCCACCCCACATACCCCACACACAAACAAACACACATACACCACACCACACACACCACATACACATATACCACACACACACAACACACACACCACATACACACACACACACACACACACTCTTCAGTTACTACCTCAAGTCTTTCACTCCAGACCCCACCATTCCCTCAAGGAAGATTCTTGCATTTAAGCCCCCAATGTTCCTTCCTGTGTGATGGTTAGTTTTAATTATTAAAACTTCATACAAACCTGGATTAAACTGGGGAGAAAGTCTCAATGAAGGACTACCTAGATCAAGCTGGCCTTTTGAGCATGTTTCTGGGCATTGTCTTCACTGCCTTTCTTGATATGGGAAGACCCAATCTGGAATCAGGCTCCTTTGCCCCCTGGTTTGTGGGCTGTGTGGGTGGAGAAGGTGAGCCGAACACTAAGCATGCAAGCTTTCAATCTTTAGCTCCCAACCAAGACTTCCCCGCAATGGAGGACCAAAACCTGAGGTTGTCAACTGAAATACACTCACAACAAGCTCCTCTAAGCTGCTTTTTTTTTTTTTGGTCAGGATATTTTACTGCTACAACAGAAATGAAGCCAAGATAACTGACATGTCTCAGTATGAGCCTTTAAGCTGCCAGAGAGGAGCCTCTTCCCTGGCCTTCCCTAGTGCTATCTTTAGAGGTGTCCCCCAGAAGTTTCCTCGTTAGAAACCTAAGTCCCAAAGTTGGATGCTGATGATATTTGGAGAAGGGGCTTAAGGGAGGTAAACAGGATCAGGAGGGTGGGATCTCAAGGTGGCATTGTGGCTTTCAAAGACGAGGAAAGACACCCAAACTGGCACACTTGTTCTGTTGCACACTGTGACACCCCCCACCATACTGGGGTGAAGGTAGCCCCCCCCCAGATGCAGGTGCCTTTACACTGAGCTTCTAAGCCTTTAGCACTGTAAAGTAAATAAACATGTATTTGGGCTGGAGATGAAGTTCAGTGGTAGAGAGCTTGCCTACCATGAATGAAGCCCTGGGTTCAGAGCCAAGCATCACAAAACAAAAAGAACCCCCAAACCGAAATCCAGATCAAAACCCCTATTTTTTTCTTTTAAGGATTATTTTATTTTATATTATGTGTATGTGTACATGTATATGTCTGAGTCTATGAATGTAAGTGCTGATGGTGGCCAGAAGAGGGAGCCAGATCCCCCAGCACCTGAGTTTGAGGTGGCTGGGAGCTACCTGACAGGGGTGCTGGGAACCAAACTTGGGTCCTCTGGAAGAGTGGTGTATGCTTTTAACTGCTAACATCTCTCCAACCCTGACCTCCTACTGTTTATAAGAATCTAATCTCAACTATTTTGTTACAGCACCCAAACCTCACATTTAGTGCCACGACTTGAATGTGAAATGTCCCTCCACAGGCTCGGGTGTTTGAATACTTGGTCTCCAGCTGGTGCTGCTGCCTTGGGAGGCTGTGGAATATTTAAGAGGGGGGCTTACCTCAAGTAAGTGGGCCATTGGGGGTGGGTGGATCTTTGGGGACTGTGTCTGCCTTTGAACAAACAAACAAAACCAAGGGAGAAGACTTGTAAAAAAGTAACACCCCAAGTAGATCTTTGACCCCCACAATTGGGTACCCACACATGCATATACCACATGAAGACACACCCACTTGTGTGGTACACCCAGAGAATAAAGCAGATAAATAAAGGCTAGAAGCCTCTAACTCTACCACGTATCCCTCTGTACTGTGCTGGGAGGGGCCAGACTGAGAAAGTGGTTGGGGGCACTCACAGTTGGCAGGGGTGGGACAGGCCACACAGGGTCTGTTCCAGGCCTGTCCCATGCTGTAGGAGCAGCAACACATCCTCCGGGTCACACTGAAGTTCAGCGTGTTCCCACATGTTCCCTGACTGTGCCGGAAACCCATGCTCTTTCTTGTGTCTGCAGCTGAAGTGGGAGTAAGGAATGTGGGCTGCAGGCTGGCAAGATGGTTCAGCTGGGAATGGCGCTTACCACCAAGCCTGACAACCGGAGTTTGACTCCTGGGCTCACATGGTTGAAGTAAAGAACTGATCCTGCAAGTTGTCCTCTGACCTCCACGTGTGTGCCATGATGCCCACACAGCCCCCATTTCCCATGTAATACGTAAATAAAAGGTAAAGAGAAAAAGAAAAGATATGGGAACGGGTTCAAGCCAGAGTAAGAATGCTGATTGGAGAGGGGGTTTATCCATGGATCCATGCTCACACTTTGGCTTGAGGTCTCTTCTTCAATCTCTTTAAGCCTTTGTTGACCAGGGCATGGCCTGGGAGGATTACTTGCAGCTACTCTGGGCTCTCAAGTCCTGGAGTATCATTTTGTCCCATATAAGCATGTCAAATATATGCAGATGTACTCTGTTTCTTCTTTCAAATACAGCTCTCTGCACCTTCCAAGGCTCTGAGGGTCTTTGCAGTCTTTCCCACACCCACGTTCTGCCATAGCAACCACTAGCCTTCCACCCCTCAAGCCCAAGTCATCACACTTCCTACCCACACAGTTGTTGCCACTGCTGACCTGCAGGAACTCTGCAGGGCAGATACAGGTGTAATTGCCTAAGCTGTAGCCTGTGCCCCGACTACAGGTGTCTGGGTGTGTGGAGCATTCACCGATATCTGCAAGGGAGGGAAGGGAGGAAGAGGACACATGAGAAATGTCAGAGACCATCTGGGTGATTCCCTCAAGGGTTCCCTACCCCAGGCCGAGCAAAGACACTTTATTATTGACTTATATTTGGTTTCACTAGCTTAAAATCATACAAATATTTGGGCCAGGAAGGTGGCGATTGTTGCACACACATGAGGATCTGAGTTTGCATCCCCAGATCCCACATAGCTCTGGTAGCTATCCTGGTGCACACGGAGCAAACAGACCCTGTCTTAGATAAGGAGGAAGCAAATACTGACCCAAGGCTGTCCTCTGACTGTCACATGCACATTGTGGCAGGAGCACCTACACTGACACTCCCTATGATGGTTTTGTTTATTTGTTTCTTGGTCATGATATCTTATCTCAGCAACAGAAACCAGGACTGACACTAAGAGAAAATATGAAAAAGACTGAGAGCAATGAAAACATGAAGTGGGGCCATTACTTCCAACCTTACAGAAACTAAGGAATCAGGGCCATTACTTCCAACCTTACAGAAACTCAGGAATCATAGGACAGTAGAATGAATAATTGCATGCTGCCCCTAAATCAGGTTGATAAGAGGACATGAATACATTTCTAGAAGAGGAGCTGGAGGTATGGCTCAGTGGTTAAGAGCATGCACTTTTCTTGCAGAGCATTCACTGAGCCAGCTCCAGGGTATCTGATGCCCTCTTCTGGTTTCCATGAGTACTGCACTTGTGCACAAAAAAAGTCTTTAAGATTTACACACACACACACACACACACACACACACACACACACACAGAGAGAGAGAGAGAGAGAGAGAGAGAGAGAGAGAGAGAGAGAGAGA